TACTTCCAACTTCCCGCAATCTGAACAAAGTTTATAAAAATGTAATACTTGTGTATTTGGATAATGTGCATTAAAATATAATTAACATATTGAGTGGATTTCGTGGACTTCACAGATATCATTGCCTAGATCAGTATGCTTAAAATGAATTTATGCGAGTAAAACAATTACAATAATTTCAAAAATAAATGAAATAGTAGCAATGGTGGTATGCAAATACAGCAAAAAATTTATGATGGTGGTATAGAGATAACTCCATTTGAAAGTACTGTTATAGCTAAATGCCTTTAACCATAAGTGATGGGGCTGTTTTTCATAAATTTTGGGGTTGAATCAATATTTGAAAGCGGCAATGGAGAGAAAGAAAGGCAATGATCTCACCTCCTGAGCTTGAGGAATTAAGGGCACAAGAAAATAAACAATCACTATTTGAGAATGATGCAGGGAAGATGTGCCCTAATGGGTAGATCTGGTTTTAATTAGAGAAAGGAGAAGGAAAGAATTATCAGTAAAGAGAATAGCTGATATTGATGAGAGATTGAAATGTAACAACAATCTAAAGGCTAGATATAATATTCTTAAACTGAGAAATATTCCATTTTTAAAATATATATATACTGTTGGTAGCAATGAGAATATTCATAGTCAATGATCCATTAATTACACTTCTGGAAATTTATCTTAAGTAGCTAAATGGTCAGAAGAAAGCTATTGGTATAAGGATGACCCTTGCTATATATCGTGCAATAGATTAAAATAAAGTAAAAACCTAAGATGAAAGAGCATAATGATGCAATAATTGGAAATGACTAAACAAATGATGATGTGTATATATAATGGAATAACATAAAGCCTCCAAAAATTTCAACCACAAATAGTTCAAGAGTCATGCAAAACATTTTAAAGTAACACTATACATAACTTTCATTGGTAAATAGGATTGCAAAGTGTAAGAAAACATAGATGCATACAAATAAGATTTGAATAGATATAGAAAAAATAATATAAGATCTGTAGGATATTAGGATGATATGGTTGTTTTCATGTATAAATTATCCTTTGATGTTAACATAGTTTAGTCACAACTGTGTATGTCTGTGTATATAACTTTCCCAAAAAGGGGGACTATAAAACAGGTATTTATCTCATATCATCTTTAAAATGAAAATAATTCATTAAGAATGCTTCCTCAGAGTGTCCTTATATACTTTTCTGTGTCATTGGTTATTTGGAGGAATGTTTATAAGCTCTGAAAAGACCATTAGCTATAAAGATCAGTGTTTGCAAGGGGTTAGTGGGGAGGGAGGGATGACTAGCAGAGAACAGAGGATTTTGAGGGCCGTGAAGCTATTCTGTATGATACCACAATGGTGAGTATGTATCATTATACACTTGTCCAAACCCACAGAATGTACAAGACTAAGAGTCAACCCTAATGTAAACTCTGAACTTTGGGTTATGATGACATGTCAATGTAGGTTCATCGATTGTAACAAGTGTTCCACTGCAGTGTGGGATGCTAATAGCCGGGAGGCTGTGAGTGGGTGAGGGCAGGGGATATACCGGGCATTCTCTGTAGTTCCTGTACAAGTTTGCTGTGAACCGAAAACTGCTCTAAAAAATAGTCTATTAAAATAATACTTTCAAAAAGACAAAGGCCAGGTTATAAAGTTTTATATTCTATCTGATCAAGCAAATGTAACCTAAAGACTAAAGCACCAATCTGGGGCTAAAACAAAGGAACACACCAAACGATGAGTTGGATTGTGTTAGGGTAGGTTCCCCGTAATTTTTCAGTGATAAGCAACTCTCTGTGCCTTTCAGTGGCTCAGTTTAGCCATTTATACAATGAGGACTGTCATGAGGTTTTGCCTCTTGCTTCATAGGTTACCCTGAGGATAGAGGAATCTCTGGACTAAAGCTGTTCTTGTCTTGTCTATAAAAAGCGCTTTATAAACCAATCAAAGATCCGTGTATTTTCAACCTTATGTTTATTACAGGCACACAGGATGAATGGAGAAGCAACCATACAATAGAAATAGAGATAAATCAGACTCTGGAAATACCATGCTTTCAAAATATCTCCTCTGAAATTTCATCTGAGTTCACCTTTGCATGGTTGGTGGTAAGTGTTGCCTTTTTCCGTGAATAACTGCAATGATCTTTAAATATTAATGAAGTATAATGAATAACAAGTAATAATAAGGAAGGAAGCATACTTGAGAGGCAGGCATTATGCCAGTGGTTGGGGGAGGGATAGGAAAGGAAGGAAAAGACACTCTCAGATTCCTTCTAACCGGGCAAGCCTCCGGGCCTATGAATGCAGTGGGTTAATTTAAAAATTAGCTCCTAAAGGTTAATTTCTATTTCTGTCTCTATACCAAACCATGACCGCAGAGAGAACAAAGTGTGAAGGTGCCCTGCAGAGGAGCCACATCCAGCAGAAGTCCCTACTCATAAATATTTGTTTTAAAAAATACATGTGCAGAGATATGTTTTGGCTTTTTTTTCCCCACAGAACCCTTATTACTGCATCCTGGGATATATCCAACATTGCTTTAGATCAGGAAACATAAACTCTAATGCTTCTAAAATATAAGCAGAAAATGTACAGGAAATCAGGACTTGTGCAAGAAATAGTCACTACTCAGCTCTATTAATGCCTCAGGGGGCTGCCTGCCCGTAATTGCCCTGCCTTCAAACTTGCAAAAAAAAAAAAAAAAAGCCAGAAATCCAGATCTTTGAGAAATTTTTCAATTTTAAAAATAATGTGTAGTGCAAAAATAAGTACTGGTCTATTATTTTGGTGGAATAAATTACTAGGGCACCCTAAAATATAACACCAATATTTTTAAATTAGCAATTTAAAAAATTCCACTGAGTATTCACTTTGGTAGTTATGGTTAGTTAAGTATTTAGTTGTTTACCATGTCCTGTGTGATGACTCAATTCTCCCACTATTTTTCTCTACTTGAAATATTGCAAACTTCATCGATTTAGATCTATAATTTAATTTCGCCTGCCCCTTAATGTGAATGTATCATTTACCTGCTCTGTCTGCTTTTGTTATTTTATCATTAGTCTGCAACATTATTCTGCCATATGGTGTCATTTTATTTTTAAAATCTAAATGTAATCTTAAAAACTAAAATCCTAGTGATTTAATATATCTGTCAAATGGGAGTTATCTCAGTTTCTTCTCATAACAAGCAAACAATCAATATGAGCATAATAAGAAATATGAAGGAATTGTGTGCAACCAAATGGCAGCCAGCTATTAACCAACATGTATAGTAAAATCTAAAACTGTTAAATCAAATGGTAACAAGAGACTAACACAATTATAAATATAACCATAAAATGATTTCAAGAATCACATAACAGGGTATTTATTTAGGTGATCCCGAATATGATCACTGTATATTAATTTTTCAAGTTGTCATCAAAATGCAAAACACAGGATTTTAAAATTCTTACAAAACTCATAGATCCCCATGAATGTAACAGCTGACACAATTTGGAAAATATGATTCACATAACTGATTATTCACGTTCCAAGTTACCTAGGTTTTTGTGGGCTGTCCTAGAAACTAGACATAAAAGATTTTTCTGGGGGCGTGCAAAATCCAAAATAACTGTCTTCCATAAAGACCTTAAAAAACAGTCTATTGATAATTTTTCACTGTCTGGATATTTTTTTGGATAGTCAGTAATATGAAAAGAAAAATATATTCTAAAACAAATTTCCCAAATTGTTCTGAAATCTACAATGACTCTTTGTCATCTGTCACAAACATATTTTTCGTTTTATAGGATCTGGTTTCCAAAGAGAAAAGCTTCCTTGGCATCATGCCTACTATTGGTATAAGTCAATTGTTCTTAACAAACATGATGCAATGTAGTTCTTAGAAAAAGGTTAAAAAGCGAAGGTGATCTCAGAAGGGCAGAAACATACTGTACTAAACATTACAGTAATGAAAATGCATTGTTTATATCTTGCTTACATTATTAATAGTTTTCACCAATAGGGCAAAAAGTCCCTATCGTAATTATCACAAATTCACTATCAATGGGAATTGGTTTAATAAAGCTTCACTGTACAGATTTTGGCTGTCAGGTAAATTAATCTGTAGTGTTCTTATCTCATGGGTGTGCCATCTGTTTTTCCAAGCAAATGTAAAGCCTTCAGTCAGTCTGTGCCTTTTATGTGACATTTGAGCTTCTCCAGGGCAAAAAGCCTGACCATTCACTTCAAAATTCTCTAGCATTAAGCATAGAGCCTAGATCATAGGCACTCATAAATACTCAAATGATCTAATGAATTTGTTTCTGTCTGTCTCCTTTCCCCACTGTCTTATTCACTGTCCTCATGTTAAATTGACGGTCACTAAATTCATGCTGTTTGATTGATTAATGAGCGTCACGCTCATTAAGGATCGAAGACGAGATAACTGATAAGACATCCTTTATCAAGTAGTTTCCTTCAAAGACACCAAGAAGGCTACATAGGCATTATCTCTGGAACCTGCTGGGACATTTAGGATAAATGAGGGCCAGAGGGAGTGCATGTAAGATCACACAGTGAGAGGGTGAGTCCTAAACATCTACTAAAACGTCAAACCACGCAAGCACTTTAAAGAATGCATCATGATATAGACAACTTGAGGAATCTTTTTGGAAGAAACCTCTCTTCAAAAAGAACCTCGTATTGGCAAATGTGCTGATTAAATTCCAACAGTGCATTCCTTTTTTAAATGTCAAAATCTATTTGCTCCGCTGATTTACACCCGGCCCCACACTGCTGATGGCAGTGGGATTCAGCAAGTCTGATATGAAACCCTCTAATGTCTTTTCCGAAGAGGATATAAATACTTTCTCCAATCCATATTTTCAGTCTTTAATCTCTTGTTAAACTAACAATAATAATCATAATTGTAAACCAATTGCCCTTACCAACATGGTATAATGTAGCTTTTAGAAAGAGGTTAAAAAGTAAAGATGATGAAGATGAGCTCAGAAGGGCAGAAATCTGAATACTGAACTTGGTAGCTCCAGGAGGCTGCAAGGCTGTCTGCCCCTAGTGCTTCAGGAAAGCCTGGAAACAATTTTACAAACTAAAATTATTAAGGTCACAGGGAAAAAAAAGTTGTGTTTTCCTGTATGTGAAGTTTTATAAAATCTAATTAATTCAGTTAGAACCCTCATGGGAAAGGTTATTATTGGGATTCTCAGTCTCATAAAATAAACCCATTTGCTCTACGTACCTGATCCCATGCCAAGGCTGTGTTAAATGTGTTAGTGGGACAGATACTTTGAGTTTTGGAAAGTTACATTTCCGATTGTGATTACACAAAGGTAGACCAGAATCAGGTGCAAGTAGACAGTGAATCTAACATCATTCTAGAATGAGGGGAACTGAGTAAACACAAAGGATTAACGCTTTAATAGAAATTAACGGTCTATGTAGATGGTGAGGTGATATATAAGAAATCATGGACTATGAATGTGTAGATGAGATGCAGCTGATGGATAAGAGGATAAGTGATATTTTTCCCATTTTATGCAGTAGGACACAAGCATACAGTCATCCCAGAAATTCTTCAGGCTTATTCTGGAAGCTTCTAAATATACTCTAATATTCTGTTTTCATACCAAACTATCATCTTGATTTCCCACAGTATAAATTTCAATTCAATCCAATAAACATATGTGAATCTGCTTTGAGTGCTAAGTCCTGCGTGGTTATATATTTCCTACCATGACATACACCTTTAATAAAAATGTAAAAAATGGCAGCATGGTGGGAAAATAGTTTGATTCTGACTAGATGGACCTGGGAAAGCTTCTTAGAAAAGGTTATGTTTGAGCTGGATAATTAAAGAACAGTTGGCTGGCAAAAGACAGACATATACTGCACTGAGACCCTGGGACCTGTAAGTACTAGTTGGTAGTGCAGATGGGGAATATTTATCCCCAAAGTCAAATAAATAAATCCACATTTTTCTCTTTAAAATCATGAAGAGAAGGACAAAAATATTTCAAATTCAAACAGTTCAATATTACTAACAAAGGCACATAACTAAATTCTAGATGCTCATATTTCTTAAAATTTTTATCTATAAATGTATCTTTAATATGTTCTTCTTTAATATTTGTGCTATTTTATAATTAAAAAGTAAAATGGAACTATAAACAGTGGTGGCTTCTCATATTTATGGGATACTTCAGTATTCAGAAAACAAAACTGTAACCTCTTACCTGATGGCAGCTGATCCTCATTGTCTTTAATCAAAAACTAAGTGCTAGCCAAACCGCCAAGTGTCGGCAACCGAGAGCAATGATTAGAAAAATATTGTTCTGGTACTCTAGAAAAAGGACCTGAGGAGCTTTGCAAGCTGCTCTGACAGCAGTGACAGGATGGGGGAAATGTGAACACAGCAAACAGTTTGGAGATAAAGAAGTAGCCATCGATACAGTTAACAGCCGCTATCGAATGAGCTCTGTGCCACTCAGCACCTGCCACATGCTGTGGCCAACGCAGCCAGCTCTGGCATGGAGCTGGCTCCAAGAAGCTCAGGCCAGTGCGGAGATGAGATAGAATCATTAAATCAAATTGGCTGAGCATCCCGAATCTGAAAATCCTAAATCTGAAATGATCCAAAATCTGAAACTTTTTGAGCACCAACGTGCTCATTGGAGCATTTCAGATTTTGGATTTTCAGATTTGGGATGTTCAACCAGTAAGTATAATGCAAATATTCCAAAATAAAAAAAAATCCAAAATCTGAAACACTTCTGCTCCCATGGATAAGGGATACTCAACCTGTAGTACCAAGTTGCCTCTTCTGGATTAAAAATTCCGATTCTAGTACAAAAACAAAAAAAGCCTCAACAAATTATTTTAGGATTTGTCAGGTCTTTAAAGGGCATATAATAGCAGTTTTTCCTGATTCTATGTGACCCCACTCAGCCCTCATCATACTAATTATTTTATCAAACTCTTGTACATAATTTAATTATACCTTTGTTTCTTTTTTATGGGCCTGGATTTTTTATTTGTCTTTCTTATAAATTTATTCTTTTCCTCAAGTAGCCTGTAAGCAGAAAAGGCAAGGACCGTGCCTTCTACTGCTTTTGTGAGGCGGTATACAGCAAAGTCATTAACAGCATGACTGTTGGAGGGAAATTGTTTTCAAGTCCTGGCTCTACCACTGGCTGTGTGAACTAAGGGCTAGGGTTAGGGTGAGTTGAGTAAGGCTTTCAAATTTCAAAATTTACGGAAGCACAAAATATTAGTAATCAAGATAGATATTTTAATACAATATTTTTAAAAATCAAAAGCTAGGAAAAATTCATGATGAAAAAATATCAAAATTTTAAATAAAGGCAGGCTGTTGTTTTTGTTGAGACCTTGATATATTTATATTGTCAGGAAACAGTATTTTCTAGTCAGACTGTGTTTCCTGGGCTTCATAGCCATCATGTCCCCCAAGGGTAGTATAAGGGTTGACAGTGGCAGGAGAACAGATTGCACAATTCATGGCTTTATGACTACGTTGGTCCATTTTGTGCTGCTATATATAACAGAATACCTGAGACTGGATAATTTATAGAGAACAGACATTTACTCTCCCAAAGTTCCAGAGGCTGGGAAGTCCAAAATCAAGGCACCAGCAGGTTAGAGCCTGGTCTGTCTGCTTCCAAGATGGCACTTTGAATGCTGCATCCTCCAGAGAGGAAGAACAATTTGTCCTCATACGGCAGAAGAGTAGAAGAGGGAGAACGCAGTTCCGCAAGCCCTTTTTATAATGGCATTAATCCATTTACGAGGCAGAGCCCTCTTAACCTAAACACATCCCATTGGGTCCTACTTTCCAATACTCTTGCATCGAGGATTAAGTTTCAACATGAGTTTTGGAGGGGACAAAAACATTCAAACCATATCAATGATTCTCCATAATTTCTCAATTTAGCCAGGCACATAGTGAATATTTATGAAATAGTAGCTTGATCAAAGGTGAGACTGGAGAATAGTGAGCTTGTATTAGTGAACATCTATTAAGCACCAGGACTAGAATAGGTGTATCATATATGTTAGCTAGTTAAATCTACATTCTTTCAACAATGTAGATTTAAGTGTCTACCAAGATGTGAATCCATAAAGTTTTAGAAATGTTTTTTTTTTTTATTTCAGCATATTATGGGGGTACAGATGTTTAGGTTATATATGTTGCCCTTGCCTCCCCTCCCCCCCAAGTCCGAGTTTCAAATATGTCCATCCTTCAGGTGGATGCCCATTGCACTCTTTGTGTATGCATATACCCGTCCCCTCCTCCCTCCTCCCCCCTCCCCCCTGCCCAACATCCAATAGATGTTATTCTTATATGTGCACTTATGTGTTGATCAGTTAATACCAATTTGATGGTGAGTACATGTGGTGCTTGTCTTTCCATTCTTGGGATACTTCACTTAGTAGAATACATTCCAGCTCTATCCAGGAGTGTACAAGAGGTGCTATATCACCATTGTTACTTAAAGCTGAATAGTACTCCATGGTATACATATACCACATTTTATTAATCCACTCATGTATTGATGGACACTTGGGTTGTTTCCACATCTTTGCAATTGTGAATTGTGCTGCTATAAACATTCGGGTGCAGGTGTCTAGAAATGTTTTTTAACATTTTAAAAACTGTATAATTTTTTTGTTTGAATAACAAAAAGAAAAGAAAAACAGGTAGAAATAAAGGCTCTGTACAAGAACCCCTAGCAGTCTGTTTCCTGCAGACCAGGTTACCTAAGATCACTACTGTCAGGTGGCAGTTGAGGTATGCTCCATAGCATCTATCACCAAAGGTGGGTCAATATACCATAAAAGGATCCTTTCAATCAGCAAATTGCCCACACCTCTGAAATCTACAATGTATATAAAGGCTTCTGGCTTTCTGACATTTCTTTTAAATTTCTCATTCCAGATACTCCAGAAAGTTTTTTTAAACTTTTTCTGGTTGTCTTTGATTAGTACATGTTGTCTCTGAGGCTTATTTGTCCCTGGTTCTGGGCATTCTTGCTGTTTGATGCTGTGACTTAATATCTTCTTGCTTTGTGTGACCTTTGAGCAAGTTATTTAACCTCAATTTATTCCAGATAGTTGTAAGCAGTAAATAAGATAAGACTTGAAAGAACTTTGCAGAGTGCCTAGAAATAGTAGTTGCTAAATACATTTAAGCTATGACTAATAAGAATACAAAATGTTAATAGTGGTCACAGCATAATATTAGTATGATTCCTCGCTCTCCCTGCCCTAGGTGTCTCATTGTTTCCCTGCGCTAGTTTTTTCCTCCTCTCCTCCCATTTGTTCCATGAAGACAGCCACTCACATGCAGGTTCTTGCCATGCCCCTTTATAAATGGGGGCTCTAGAATCTCTCAGGATCTCCTTATCTTGTAGGTTACAAGGCACTCTTTGCAACTGAATCCCATCTTTCCAGTGAAGGAATAAATTTCTCCCTCTGCAGAATTCAACTGCCCAGAAAAACAAATCTTTGGATAAATCAGATTTTTTTTGTGTGTCTTTTCTCTATCAATTAAACCACTTTAGCCCGTCATACACCCTGCTACATAATAAAGAAAAAAGTGGTTTTTCTCACCAGTCTCTAAATTCAGCATGTGACTGCCCTTATTCCAAAAACAAAGTGACAGATAGAAATTTTTCAAATGTCACATCGTATATTAAATGACTAAGAAACATTTTAAATTCCAAAATCCTCACAAAAACAGTCCCCATGCGTAAGGCAAGAGGCTGTCAAATATACCTTATTGTGCCAAAGGACCTGCAGGGGGCGCCTGCTTCCTTATTTATTGACCTCCAGACCAGCCGCTGAGGGACATGCCTTCCACTGTCTTCTGCTGTCACCACCCAATACTCCGGGCTCCTCTGGGGACCCCCGAGGGCTATTGTATTTTGAGATACAATCTTTCTCCCTGTGGTTTTCTAGTACTCTTCCTCATTAGGAAGACAGCAGCACAGACCTAGGTCCTTCTTTAAGAAGCTATAAAGGAATGTACATTGCTTCAGGGGTGAGACTTCAGCAGGGTGTGATTTGTTGTAGGCTACAATACTATCTGCATGTAAGGCTGATACAAATCCTAGCCAGATTCTGCTGAGGAGTTGTGTCTTACACAAGCGTTCCTACTAAGTATATTCTGGAATTATCTATATAATTAAACTATTTAAGAAGTGCACCTTTGTGTTTCCGCTGTTTCTGCCCATACTTGAATTCACTCACTCATCTGGCTTCCATTTCTTCCTCCCTGAATCTGCCTAATTTTTAAAACTAGAGATTCCAAGTCACAGATATTTACTTTCATTATTTTATGACTTTTTTCCCCCCTGCTAAATGTATTCCTGTTCACCCTTCTCCATTTTAGTTCCCTCCATTTCCCCTGACACCTGTGCACAATGATTCATCTGTTGTTTCAGCTTAGGCCAGTGGTTCTCAGCCCCGGCTCCCCTGAGAACCTTTTTTAAAAAAGCCCCAGCCTGGGCCTTACCACAGACCAATTGAATTAGAGTATCTGGAGAAGGAGCTCGTGCATCGGAGTGTTTGCAAAGCAGCTCAATTTAGAATATTGAGTTACACTAACGGAGTCTCAGGACCTAACCCTTCCTCTACCCTTGTGCCCCTCAAGAACCCCCTCCTCACTGGGCCTTAGCGAACACATCCACTGACACTGGCCAACACTGTGGCACCCCAGGGAATTGTCCAAGGAAATGATGGGTGGGAAAGGATAACGGGGCTTTTCTTCACAGACCCAACAAAGGATATGGAATAGAGGAACCAAGTGTTTCAAATAAGCTCTGATCTCCAAAGTTCAGATTCATATTTGCAGCCTACTCTTCATACATGACCTTTGAAGCTAGCACAAACACCGAAATAAGGACACAGGACTAGGAACACCTCTAGGCTGAGGTAAGGAGGTGCCCAAGGCCCAAATTTAAGGAAGTACTCACTCTCAAGTGCCGACCCTTCACTTGCAAGATCCCGAGAATGAGTGCCTCCTTAAATTTTGTGCTCTGTGTTCCTCTTTACCTGATCCTACTCCAGGCTCTAAGAGGAACTTAAATGACACCTTTTCTGAAGGGATCCGGGATGGCTGTAATCATCCAGTTCAGGTGAAGATTTGATAAACACAACTAGAACAGCCTCCTCAGGGCATCTTAGCAGTGAGATGTCAGAACTTCCTAAATGAGAATTAGGATCTGCCATGAGCCCCCCATTTCACTCCTCAGATCCTACCCCAGACATGCAGCTTGGGGAAGATTACGAAAGGTAAGATCTAGTTAGAAAAGCAGCAGATTTCCGTGTGTTAAAAGAGGGTGACAATAGTTTTTAATTTAAAGTCAAATGTACTGATACTCTCACTAGTAATATGCTAAAATATCTCTTAATTTCAATTCTTCATTCTTCCTCTCTATTTTATAAAAAATAAAAGAATCAACGTTTGTGAAATATCTAATCCAGAATCTGACTGCCGAGTGCTCCGTAACTGGTAACAATGTTTCTCACCAGGAGAATAATGGAACTCAGGAAACACTTATCACCGAAGAGCATCCCATCAGCCATTCCACATTGTTCAAAGACAGAGTCAAGCTGGGTGCAGACTACAGACTCCACCTCTCTCCAGTCCAAATCCTCGACAACGGACAGACATTCTCTTGCCACATCAGAGTCAAGCCTGGCAAAATCTTGAAGACCTCTACCAGGGTCAAGGTTTTTGGTGAGGATATTTGTTCTGTGGACTCTCTGCCATCCTCCTGTCAGTTCGTTCTGCCTTGCTCTCCCCTAGAGAGGAAGCACTGCTTTGCTGGAAAGCAGCCAGGCAAGGGTAACAATTCCAGAGTTCCCTTTGCCTTGATACTTGTCATTCTGGTTGGGAGTGGGGACTAGGGTAGAATGACACTAAAGAATGATGATTCAGTTACTAGAATAAAATCACACAGAAAGCCATAATTTTCTGTATTCATCCATTTGCTGTTGCTTATAACAGAATACCCGAAACTGGGTAATTTGTGAAGAAAAGGAGTTTATTTCATACAGTTATGGAGGCTGAGAAGTCCAAGGTCAAGGGTCCACATCTGGTGAGAGCCTGCTTGTGGGTGGGATTTTTCTGAAGAGTCCGAAATGTTCTGAGTGTCCCCACATCCTAGCTTGGGTCTCTCTTCTTCTTCTCCTTATAAAGCCACCAGTTCTTCTCCCATGATAACTCATTAATCTGTGGATTAATCCCTCCAATCACCTCTGAAAGTCCCCACCTCTCAATAATGCCACATTGGGGATTAAGTTTTAGCATGACTTTGGGAGGGAACACTCAAACCATAGCAGATGGATCGATTTCCTGGTGATCACTATCTTATTTACAACTTTAATGTTGGCTAAGAATGCTGGAAATCTCCTTAATTACAACTGCCAAAGTCTAATTGCTTAGTTGCCTAATTGTCTTAGTTGCTTGCTGGAGCAAGGTGGAATAAGGCCAGTGAGAAAAGGAAGGTGATAAACATAGCTCCAGAGACACTCTGCAGAAGCATCTCCCCCCGCTCCCATCCTACCAAGGCCAGCTGGGGTGAGAGACCATCCAAGTCCTTCCCTTCCAGCAAAGGAGCCTGCAGGGACAGCCCTCAGATCGTGCTTTCTCAGGAGGAGTGTGGAGCTGAGCTGTGAAATCCACTGTGGCCCCATTCAAAATGCAGAGACTCCGCAGGATACAAATTTCAGGGCAAAATATGAAAATTCTAGTTTGCTCAGTGCTGCAAGAAAATAATAAAGAGAAGCCCCTGGCTTTGGATGTTTTTCCATTTTTGTGACAAAGACCTGTGTTTTTGTTAAAAAGTCAATTTTAAAGGAAGATAAAGAGAAAAGCAGTGATGTGGTTGGACAATTAATTGTTTTTGAAAATGAGGTAAACAAGGAGAAAATAACTTCACGAAACCTAAGGGCATGGGCTGCTAGATTGTTCCTCAGTTCTCTGAATAACAGAGAAGGCAAAAAATGTTTGTTTTTATTTAATCTTATTGCATTATTATTGGGGGTCATGCAATTTAGTATTTTGAAGAAAACGCAAAGTTGTTTGTAAAGATGGGGATGGCTCCAGCCAATATTTATTTGGTTTGAAGTCTCTTGCTTATAACTTTCTCCTTTGCTCTCTCTGGCTCTTACCCTTCCTCCCTCCCCCTCTCCTCCCCTTCCCTTTCCTCTCTCTCCCTCCCTCCTTCTCTTTCTCTCCTTCCATCAGGAATGGCCTAGGTAATAATCACCCCATGACCAGGTTCCTTACGGAGCCTAAACAACGTCCTATGAAGAGTTGGAAACAGACGGCTCATCTCTTTTATTGATATCACCATTTGTTTACTTACCAGGGTGTGACTCTCTTAGCACAAACATGAAACTGCCTCATCTGGCCTATTGGCAAACCAGTGAAGGCAGCTATCCTGGGTGTGGAAAGAAATATCAATTTTAAGTTAGGCAAGCTGTGTCCCCATTTGATCAAGATTTTTTGTGCCATAACTTGATCTAATTGTCTTGTCAAAATTTATATTGTGTCCTGTATCTCCTTGCTGCATTAGACTATCTTCATCTTGGTCTTCAATGTTTTCCACTCTTTTATATCTCACTTGTGTCACCCTATCTGGCTGTGCGTTTGTCTGTCTCTATATTTCTCTTTCTTCTTTGAACTCCTTTCAGTGGATGCTTAAAACTATGAGACTCTCTGCCTGCTTGTTCAAAGAATTAGATTTTTCTTGCTTTCTGGCTTTCCCATTTAGTAAGTGGGCTGGGTAGGTTGTGTTTGGACAGAGTCTCATCCAGTCTTTAAGCTATTTCTGGGTGTTACCCAAGTATATATTATAGTGGTATTATAGTGGACCTGACACAGAGGTGCAATACATGTAAGAACCCACTTTGCATTCTTTGGTGATTCCCCATATAGAATGAGCCAAAATAAATAAATAAATAAAAGCCTGAAATAAATTTCCAAATGTATCACAGACCTATTGTACACGCCCAGCTTATTTCTTCTCCCAAAACAATTTCTCATTACCCAGCTCTTCATTCTCCAACAGGTCAGGGACTAGAGGCCACCCCAGCTTCTTTGCCCCTTCCTGCATCTTCTTCCCTGGTCTCCTTTCGTTTTCTTTCCCTTTCCAGGGTGTCACCTGTCCATCACAGGTTTGCTCTCCCCTGCTCCTAAGTTCCAAATCTGATTGTCCTGAGCCTCAAAGAGAACCTGTCTCTCCCTATCACTCCTGAAACCTTTAGTAATTTTTCTTTCAGGACCTTCATTCTACTGGTATTTGTCTTCTGGTAGGAGGTCGGAAATTCCCCTCCCCCGTTAGTGTTTCAGGGATGTATCTTGGTTTGGGTTCCCCTGAAAGAAAACATTGAGAAAAAGATTTGAGTTAAATGAATTTTTTTGAGAGGATATCCTGGGAAACATCAAAAGAAGAATGAGAAAGTGAGTCCAGAAAGGGAAGGAAGATAATAAAATGTACGTGATTAAGCCAAGAGCTCAATCTCACTGGGCAACTCTGGGAAATAGTGTAGAACATGCATCAGAATTATCCCAGATGAAGGACAAGGAAGCTGGGGTATTTATCCACCATCTCTCCATCTGTTATCACAGTTAACTTCCTGGAACTTCCAGTTTTTCCAATTTGTGGACTGAGCATGCTCCCATAATTCCAATAAATACTTAGGCAGGAAGTCATAGACATGCCCAAGAAGAGGTCTTGAGCATGTGAAGGTAAATGCCGAGTGGATGTAGCAGGTGCTGACAGCACCTGTGACGGGGGTCTCAGTGTTCTTTCCACTGGTTCATAGACGGCTCTGTCTGCTATGCTCAAGAATTTACTTGAAGCCACTTCAGTTCAACATGATATACTCAACATCTATTTTGTGATAGATGCTGCTTAGTGCTGGAGATGTAGAGATAGATAAAACACTCTGGTTTTGAGGCACTTAAAATCTAGTAGGACGATGAAATTGCTGAATATTTTCTAGTGTTAAGAAACCAAATAAGTATCTCTGGTCCCCTTCAGTGGCATGAAAATGACTCTTTATTTATAGGCATTTGGGCATGTAGAACATGCCTCTCTTCTCTCTTCCCCAATCTGCCTGCCCTCCCATCCTGCACAGTCCCAATTTCACTTGACTCACCACTGATCACCACTCAAGCATTAGTTACACTCGCTTCTTCCAAAATCCCCCACCTATCTCCCTAGTGTGAGTTACAATCTTTTGTTAAACACTGCCTTCAAATCCTACATGTCTCAATCATTGTACTTATCTCAGCATATTATAACTTCTAGTTTATTTATCTGTATTTTTCATGAAAACGTAGATTTTTTTAGGACAATGAATGTGATTTGTCCACTTTTATTTCCTGGGCATCTAGCATACTGCCAGGCACATAGTGGGTATTTAATAATTATTTGATGAATGATAAGTCTTTCTCAGAGACACACACACACACACACACACACACACACACACTAGTAGCCAGGTAGGATGACATTCAATATCACTAACTATGTTTTATTTGCCTTTAAGCTAAGCCAGAAACCCCCATGATTGTGGAAGACTCCATGGATGTCTTGAGAGAGGTGAGTCACATTAAAGCCTTTGAAAATCTGTAGTATTACATGCCAAGCTGTGTCACGCTGCATCGTTGCCAGGAACGTTCTCTCAAAGGACCTTACTCCTGGGCCCTTGGCCAATTAACTGCCGATGGAGATGTAGGGAAGCTGAGTCGATTCTAGAAACTGAATGGGAAATTTTACTTTTTGATTTAGGACTTTCAGAATGTTTGATCTACATCCTTGGTCCTTAAATTTCCCAGAAAAAAAACAATTGTAATTGTTTAAACTTCTCTTTAATAAAAAATTGAGGTGGATAGTGAGGAAAAAGTAGGGCAGAAAGCAATGTGAATCCTGGTGTAAGAAGGAGGTTTTTGCTTGGCTGAAATTTATAATAATTTGTTCTAATCCATTTCCTGTACCAGATTTCCCATTGTTTTTATTTCAACGTGACAAGACGAAATTTACCCTCCTATACTCCTTCAGAACCCTGGCCATTTCTTTGGCAGTAAGAGGAAGGGCAGGAGAAAAAGGAAAGTTGAATAGGGCCCTGTGACTTCAGTTTCTCATGGATGGTAGTTCCCAGCCTGTAGTCACTGGGATCTGGACTCGCTTCCCAGCCCTTCCTCTTGCTGGCCGTGACCTTGGGCAAATTACTTCACATCTTTGTAGTCAGTTTGTCCATCTATACAAAGAGGATAATACTAGTATCTACACATTATTGTTTTATGGAATTTAATTAAATAATGTTTGAAAAGTCCTTAGTACAGTGTGTGACATATATTATTTAATAAATGTTATTGTTTTGGTTATTACTATTATCTATTTTAATCAGCTATATTGTGGCCTCACGATTTCATCTAAGCTTTTCAAAACCCCATGTAAAATAAATATTCTTATTAATTCTCAAACGTTTCCTGTTACATAGGGTGAGAGAGGATTATATTTGTGTACTAGTTTCTTCTCACCCCAAGAACACTAAATAACTTACACTGTCTAGTCCCACTGAATATCAGTCATTTAATTTGACAGCTGCATAAAAATCATAGCTCAGATTCTTTGGGATGGTTTTGTATGACTCTCTCCCTCTCTCCCCCTCTCCATGTGTGTGTGTGTATGTATATGTATGTGTGTGTGTATATATATATATATATATATATAAAATATTACCCAAGTATTTGTATTTTTTGCCAATTTCATGTACTAGTCTTTCAGATAACTGCTACTGTAATCCTGAGTATATAGCAAAAGATTTAATCATTTTTATGCCACCATAATTTAACTTCTAAGTTTATTAGTGGACTTCATTGCAATAGTTTAAATTAAAAACATAATCTAATGATACAGCTTTTGGTGGGTGTTTTTGTTTCTAGTGCCAATGTTTATAAGTAATATGGGCTCAGTCCAGATATAGAACGATAAATTGAATCCAAGAATCCCAATTTTTTAAAAAATGAACTTTGCCTTTCCTCTTCTGTACCCATGCTTGCTAGAGTGCTGACTAGGAAAACCAGAGAACTTTACTTCCTGGCGAAATGATGAATAATCTCTCTCCAATCCCACACAACAGGACATGGCTTGTTCTGGGATCTTTCAAGATCTGCCAAACATTAGAAACTCCTCACTCTATTATTCTTATAATCCCTGCTGTATTTAAATAACTTATTAACTCTTCAAAGCCTTTTCACATACTTTTACCTGGTGGTGCTCTGAAATGGGCCAGACATCTGTCATTTTACAGATGACAACCTGGGGCCTGGAAAGAATAGACAGCTAGCTGAGTCACTCATGAAGGGCTGAAGAGGGGTGCATATTTAGCTTGCCCACATCCAGGCAGGACAGTGTGATGAAAGGAAATCACACCTTAGTGTCAGATAGCACTGGTGTCAAATCTTAATTCAAACGCTTATTGGTTACATATCCTCATCAACTAGTTAACCTCCATGAGCCTCAGCTGATTCATCTCTAAAACTGGGATAATAATAAGTACTTCACAAATTTCTGAGGAGAATTGAATCTGTGCACAATAATGGAGTACATAGGGCATAGTAGACGACTCGGGAATATTTTTTTCCTGACCACTACTTATCATTCACCCACTTTCTTTCACTCATTCTTTGCTCTGCACTTACATTCATAAATCTGCTACGTGATTGATTCTAGGAGACAGTGTGGGATAATGAAAAAAACAGAGCATAGATTGTGGAATCTGACAGAACTAGCTTTGAATTCTCTTTCGTGCTTATTAACTTGGACCCCTGGGACCTCAGGTCTTTAACTGCTTCATCAGTGAATGGGGACAATGATTCCCATCTCACAAGGGTGATGAAAGGATCCAACCAGAGAGGGTATGCAAAGTACTTACCATCTGACAACCACGAGTGTTTGATAATGGCACTTTCCTACCCACCCTTCTTCACTCCTTAGAAAGTCATTAAGTCAACATACACATATTGGATGCCTGCTCTGTGCTACGTACTCACTACACAAGCAGCCCTCAGTGTTGGACTGCCATGGAGACTTGGTCAGTTGTGAGCTGTCTTCCAGTGTTACTTAGTTAAACTTAAAAAGTTTATGGCTAATTTAGTTTTTCTGTAAAGCAGAAAAGAACCAAAGTTATTCTAATAACGATGCGTCTCAGGTGCGGACATGCCAGAGATGTCTAAGGAGAGTGTCATATCTGTGGATATCGTGTTCTTATGCATTCTTGGCAAGTCTAGGCAAGACTTCGCTAGGCCTCCAACGCAGCATGCAACTTCACTCATGCAGCTAGGATGGGAAAGGAGTCTTTAATCTCAATCTCTGGGCCCCTCCATGTGGCATATCTTTGCATTAGAGCAAAAGATGTTGGGCCAAAGAGCCCCTCAACCCACAGTTGGTGATATAGCATAAGAAGGCACAAGAGGGATACATAAAAACTCCGGTGTGCAGTCTTTCCACAAGCCACATACGTCTCTCTTTGATGCTTGTTCTTTTTGTTTTAACCCCATCATCTCCATGGGTCTTGTCCTTGTCACTCCCTACCTTTGTTATGTTTGACAAAATTTAGGAAAAAGAAATCTAAAGAAATCTATTTATCATGAAACAGGAAACAAAAGCAGTTAGGAGTTAAGGTGCCTAAAAAGGAAGACAGGCTACTATAACAAGAATCATGTAAAACATAACCAAAATCTAAAAACCGCAGTGTGGTTAGCTTCAGCAGGAGAACACTGGTAGCTTTTTGCAGAATTTGACTATTTGTGTTTATTTGGTTTTGGTTTTGCAAAGCTTGAAAGCTCGTGGATTCCTTAAACCCCCTTCCAAATGTATGTGTTTTGGGTTTTGTTTTTTTAAAGAATAGGTATTACAGCCTGTTTTTTTTTTTTTTTTCCTCCCAACATGTTTTGTGATCCAATAAGGCTCTGACTCCCAATGTCCAGGCATGGGGCTCCCAGCAGCCATCTCCGTCTGCACTGGTGAGCCCCTGAGTTTGCA